AATAATCGATTCTTTGCCATGGCTTTAAGTGGAGAAATATCGACAATCGATTATTCACGCCTCGCCCTGGTCGTGAGCCGTCGTATAAGAGCGTTTCGGGAGATGATGGCTTATTGATGGAGTCATCGACGGGTGAACACGGAATCTGTGATAGTCGAAATTCTTGCGCGGCTCGTTAAGAGCGGGATATTCAAATTAATCTGAGGCGCACGCCCCGTAACCCAATCAGAGTGTCAATCTCGCTGCTGCCGCCGTCGCCTCGTGGATCAGAAAGAGCAGCGTGCTTTGCGATACATCGATCGATCTGCCATTTAAACCTAAGGAAAAGGATCGATAAACAGGGTGTTCGCAACGAACGCCTTAATAATCGATTCTTTACCGCGACTTCATAAGGGAAGATATCGATATTCCACATCTCGCCACTGCTGAGAAAAGAATCGTGACAGTGAACTAGATCGTTTTTTCCTCGGCTAATTTGTCACTCGGCGCGAGGTCTAATACTCCACTTAGACCGTATAAGGCGCGACGCGACGCTTCGGGTTTTTTCGGCTTTGTTTTGATCGAGATATTTCGGGAATCCGAGGATTAGATCGGGCGTATAACACTAATTAGCGCTAGGTATTCCGTCACGAGATTTATCCTCCCAGAGAAGATGTTCATTTGAGTGCTTTTTAGTGGCGCGGCGCGCTTTGCGATATATCGACTGAGCCGTCATTTAAATCCATGGAAGAGGATCGAAAAACAGGGTGTTCGCACCTTAACGAACACCTTAATAACTGATTCTCCACCATAGCTTCATTTGCGGGAATATCGGTAATCGATCATTCACGCCTTTTCCGCGTTTTTGAGAGCACTCCTGCTGCACCCCTTGAGCGTCCCGCTTTTTAAAAACGGCACCCAGGAGCATTGAATTTTTTATGGGAGTTTGAAGAAAACGTCAGTCAAGCGGGCTGATTGTTGAAATCGATCGAAGAAAGCGATAGACAAGGAAGACATAAGGAGTAAAGAGCTATCCGTTGGTTGTAGCGGGTGGTTCTTAAAGACTAAGGGGGAAATTGATGGACTGACTGTAGAAGTGTAGAGTCTGTCATGGTTTGCCTTTAGTCAGTCTCACTTACTTCCTTCGTCCATTGCAACCATCCACTTCCACCAATATTATAGCTTTATTCTCAATTAGTCATCTTTGTCTATCGCTCTGTCAATCAGTTTCAATAACCAGTCTGCTGGTTCCTTTTGGCATTAATACGACAATCTCTAGGTATGAAAAAGCATGTTTTTGTGTTCCGTAAAGTTTACATTTTGGCGCTTGTGATATTCTTTCCGAAAGGAGGCGATCCACACTGTTCGGCGACTTTGACAAAAGACGGTTTTATTTATACCGTTGGAACAATAGACCTTGGGACGGTCGCGGCGGGTGAATTGGCGCGTCGCACAGTGGATCGAGTCAATAGGAGGGGTCGGACAAAATTCGGAAACTTTAAACGCTTATAACTCCGTTTATTTAAAGTTTTGAGGTTCTGAAAGTGGCTCCATCGGTTTTTTCGTAAACTTTTCTTCTAAAAGCACCCCTCGAAATATAAAATGTGACGAAATAAACACCAAAATTTGCAGTTTCAGTTTAAAATTTCATATCCGACCTCTCTAATTGACTCGATCCACTGTGCGTCGGCCGCGTCAGGGCCGTCGAAATTGGAGGGAAACTCGTCTGGGCGCGACGACGTGGACCCGAGGAGGCGGCGAGGTGTAAGTGCGATGAGGAGTCGGGGGGGGCCTTGGGGGGCCGGGGGGGCCGGGGGCGGGGGGGCCGGGGGCGGGGGGCACGCTGTTTAAAACTGTTGAAAGATCAATACCATTTGAACTCATCAATAGTGTGTCTGTCAAATCAATCCACATACATATACGTACACACATATACATACACGCAGTCTGCGCCTTGGTCTGCACCGCACCGCCGCGCCGCGCGCCGTAGCCCACCCGCCGCCGCCGCCGTCCGTTTTTACGCGCAGTTGTACAAACTTCCAACTCCCGACGCGACCGTCTGCGTCTGCCCTCCCGCTTCGAGAAGAAACACCGTATCAACCTAATGTTGCTAAATTGGACTGAATTTGATGTAAACGAACCAAGTCACGGTGGAAGGGGGGGAAGACAAATTCGGAGACGTTCTAAATTCATCTCGGCTCAGGTAAGACTTCAAAACGACTTAAAAAATTATGTTTAGAAATGAGTTTTATAGGAGAATACACTTTCAAATCTCCATCAATCTACCGCTGTAAATTAACATTAAAACTTTGAAACGTTAACTGAGGGATTGGAGGGCAAAGCGCATAAAGTCAGTTTCTGAACAAATTGAGATATTGATGATTGTGAGTAAAACAGGCAGGTTCTGTGAAAAGTACACTCCCGAATCCCAATGTTAAATTATCAAAAAGTCACTTTGAACTTTCCTTCCGCCATAGGATCCATGAAATTTCGAACCATCAAACACGTATCTTTTGAAATAGCAAAAACTGCATACATGCGCCTTGCCCTCCAAGCACAACAACTCTCCTCAGAGAAATAAAAGAATTTATTCTACAATAAGCAGTTCTCTCATCTCCTCCTTTGTGCTAAACTCGATCCAAACGGGCAACCCGACAGTGGATACGAGTTGTGCATTTCACTGCGCGCGTTCGTCGGGGGCCGAGAGTCAACTGGCTCGGTCGCCCCTCGTTTTTCATGGGATGCAACCCGCGGTCCACCCGGATGCGACTGCCAAGAGTCGTCCAGCTTCAAGCTTCGATCGTCCGTAATCACATGCACTGGGGGGCTCTGTGCTGTGTGTCGCTGCAACGCACGGGAAACGAGATCCGAGCACCACAATCTTCGTCGCAAAAGACCCCCACCGTATCTTCGTAAGTTGGTCACACTGTTTAGTATCGATTGTTTCCGTTGTTTTTTGTATGTGTTATAGTCACATCTCGAAATCAAACGAGACAATCAGTTACGTTATTTTGTGACGGAAACGACGTTATGCTAAAAGGAACTGCAAGAAAATGATGCATATGAAAAAGGAACTATGAGTGTGGGATTCGTGCACGCCATGGTTCCTTTCGATTTCATCCATTTCCACGTGGTTCCGTTTAGTGTAAATACGTCCAATCGAGGTGTTCCTCGGCTTGAGAGAAGCTGAGAGTGCGGCGCGGCGCAGCGCAGCGACGACATCCAACGTCTGCAAGGCCGCGTGGTCACGAGCCAAGAGATTGTAAACATTTTTAAGTGGTTGCTTCAGTCTCAGTTTGGTCTGCTCCGACTGTTAACCTCATCCTCACTAACGCCACAAAATTGTGGACGCCACGGCCTTTCCCCGCCGATATATTTCCATTTTCGACGGGTGGGTCGCGGGCAAAGTGCAACTGCATTCAACCCTTTCTTAATCATACGAAAACATCGATGCACGAATACAGAAATTTTGGAATGTTTTCCTCACAAAGCTATTTCAAACTTATAAGCAGCAAAATATCACGAAAAACATGAATATTTCAAGGTAAAGTCTCCACTTCACGCCGCGCTTGGTGAATTATTCCTGCTGCAGTGTTTTCTTCCTCGAACAATCGTGACATCCAATGAGTGATACCACTATTCGACCACGTAGGAGCTCGGGTTACCTACACTGAAAACTGAAGGCTAACCAATTGTGAGGTCTGTAAAGTCTCTGTTCCACATTCGTCGAATTATTCCTGCTTTCTTCCTCGAGCAATCGTGGCATCTGATTGTGACACCACTATTCGATCACGTGGCTGCACGTAAAATGAAGGCAAAAGGACGATGAGCTAAAGTCAGGTCCACGACGTATTTTATGGTTTCCCCTGGTGCTAAAAAAATTCCCTGATACTTCTCAATTTTTTAGGTTGCTAGACGCCCTAGTGTTTATTGTATTTTATGGGGGAAAAAAAGTCTTATATGGATAAAGATTATTAAAAATTAGTCAAAAGGATCTCAAAACTCTGTATTCTTCCCCCCGCCCTTATATGAGGGGTCTGGGCCCCTTAAAAGTGGACACCAACCGAGACTATCCCCATTCGTCTGGCCCTGGGGTTAGCTTGAATTACACTCACACACACCTTTCACTGCCAAAAAAATGATCGTTTTTGGATAGTAAAGGTGTTTCCAGTCAACATTTTAACCTAAGTTTTAAGGGCAACTAGAAAAACCACACTTCCTATTGCCTCCATGAAGAGGGCCCATTTCTCCTACAGATGCTCACATGCAATTCTAGATGAGTCATAATTATTGTTCATATCTGTTACGCAAATCAAACATTACCAAATTGTTGTTGCATGAGTTGTTACAGAGAGATATCAAAGGTTCAGACAGAGAGACAGTAGCTTTTCTAAGGTAAAATTTTCTAGATTCTGGAACTTCAGCGCATGCATCTATAATATAATAATCTAATATTGATCTATAATAACACATCTAGAGTTCGAAACGCTGGCCTCATCTGCATCATCCAGAATCGAACATGTCTTGGAGTAAAGCCACAGGAAACGGATTTTTCATAGAAATTATGAACATGCATAGCACGCTGTAATAATAGACTACCTACTATGAACCTTGTGACCCTTTTTGCCCGACTGTTTCGTAGTCGATTTTAGGTGTGGCATGATAAAGTGATTAATATAAACTAGGGGGTCCGCCCCCTCGCCGCTACGCTGCCCAAATCAAAGACCGCTTCGCGGCCATCGATATCCAGGTGTCTTTATTTGCGATAGTTTCCCACTTTTGGATTTTGAACTCCTCTTCCTCACCCCGTCCATTGAGTGTCTTAAAAATGATTTTATTGGAATAGAGAGGAATTTTCTACGTGCATTTCAATATATAAAAACCAGCTTACGAAATCTACAAGGATCGGCATCTCAGTGGTCAGAACGGAAGAGGGTGGCTGAGACACCTGGGGGAGATTCTGAACTCTTCGACTAGAAAAGGCTTTGGAAAAGTTGGTAAAACGGAAAAAGGGTACTTACCGCTGATACTCTCCGCGTCGGGCATGACAGGAAGACATCCAAATAGGATCAAAATAATGTAGAAGACAAACATCCCTCCGTGCCTGCAACAACAAACAATCAGTGTTCATTTCGTTTGCACAAAAAGACTCAAGCTTCAAGCGTTAAACATAACAATGCGCCAGGATTAGCGCTGTAAAATGGATAAGCCGCACATGCCACGTCGCGGACGAATTCGCCCTTTTTCTCGACGATCGACTCACACATGGACGTATTTCTGCCCAACGGAACTAAATGCATTAAGACATGAGCCCTAAGACCCTTTAAATTACATGCATAACAGAGCTCACGTCATACTGCACATAGTTCTGTTTGGCAGAAATACGTCCACATGATTATCCTCGTGTCGTCCGCGGATAAGCCTCTCAATCTAGTACATAGGCTTTGACTTAAGTAGTAGAAAGTCGTAGGGAGGAGGGGAGCTCTTCCCCTAGCATTCTACTTGAGCCCCCCTTGAAAATGCGGGGGATTTATATTACACAAATAAGTGCGTGGTATATCTCCCATCTTTAGTACTGCATTTCAATCAACTTTCCGATAAGAACATCTTTCAGTTGCTATTCGGTAGTCGGTTGACTCAATTTTTTCCCGGAGAGCCCCCCAAACCCCACGTCAGGGGACGCGTTTCTGACCCCTCGTTTCTGACCCCTCTGAAGAAGTTCCCAATCATGATGAAGTACACAACTTACGGAACTAAGGTCAAAATGGTCTCATTTATGCGCATAAATTATACCTACAATGAAAATACTCCCTCACAGCTTGTAACGCTTTTGTGACGTAGGTCCCTATCCTTTAACGCACGTAACAATAAAATGGCGTAACCCTCCTCTCATCTCTCCTTCCCTCTAAAGCGTCACGTAACTTGGGGACGGCCCCAAACCAATTATTAAGCGAAATCAGATGAATTTTTTAAAAGAGAACAACGAACACTGCCCATTTTTTAGAGCGCGGAAATTAACAAGGTGCACACTGGATAGAAGTCAGATGTGAAATTTTTCATCTAGACTGCAAATTTTGATGTTTAAATTGTCACATTTTAAATTTCAAAGGGTAATTCTCGAAGAAAATGCCACGAGGAAACCAATGGAATCACTTTCAGGACCTTAAAGTTTTGTATGCACAGGGTTATAAGCTTTTAAAGTTTCCAAATTTCGTCCGACTTTTCCTACCGACTCGATCACTGTGGGGGGTAGGGCACGGTGCCACGATTGCTTTTGAGGCGCCAAATGTTGCAATGCAGGCCGAGGGCAGAGTAATCGGCGTGTTTTCGCGTGTTTTTCGCGGATGCCCCGGCTTAACGCGGCGGTGTTTGCGCGGTCGTGTAATTGGAGGCCCGGGTTGCGGCGGTAACCGCGCCGAGTTGAGCGAAGCCCCGTCAAGCCATAAAAATCGCCTGGGTCACCCTCGGGCTTTTCAACTTTGGCACGCGCGCGCCTAATGAAACCCGAGCGAGCCACGAAAGTGAGCTTCGATCGGGGTGCGCGCGGCGCGACGGAGCGAAAGCACCCCGGCGTGAAAACACGAGCGGATTAGATTAAATCCAAGTCAACAAGACGGGTATTACCCATTCATGCCGAGCAGGTGGACAAACTTTCGAGCCTACAAATGGACGTATTTCTGCCAAACAGAATTATGACGTGAGCCCTGTTCTGCGTATATTCTTATGGGTCTCAGGGTTCACCTGCCGTGCAACGCAAACGCCATTTTACATTTTTTGGAAACAATGTATCATGCAGAAAAACTTGTGTACCTTGGGACAATGTTTTTACAGAATTTGTTTGCAAATAGTATCAAAAACTTAACTTGAAAATTTGCGGTGCATAGGTAAAACAGTTTTTATTTTATAAAGCGTTAAGTTCCAAAAAAAGAGGGACAATCTTGAAGGATTTACGTCGTTCTTGCTTAGCACGGCAATCATGTCGTAATGCACATAGTTCTGTTTGACAGAAATACGTCCAAATCGTCGTTTCTCTCACGAAAGAACGTAACTACATTTCAATGTTGCCAAACTTTCTCTCAAATTCCACTCTCCACTGTAACACATTTTGAACTGAAATTGCACTGATTCATTCTGGAGAAAACTTTAATCCTTCGCGTCAATTTTGAAACCTTGGGATGGAGTTTCGTTCCTTCGTATGGGAAACTGCGAAATGGACCGCTGCAGACAAGGTGAAGAATTAAGTATGTTTAATTATCAAAATTCCACGCAAAACGCGTCACGCAAAACGCGTCACGCAAAACGCGTCACGCAAAACGCGTCACGCAAAACGCGTCACGCAAAACGCGTCACGCAAAATGCGAAGCCGCTTTTCACGCGCCACCCTTAGCCCGGCTCTGCTGTCGGATGTCTGGCTAGATGAGAGGGAGGAGTTGGAAACTGGGAAAAATTCACGACTTCTATACTTCTATACTTCTAAAATCAAACCTGATCTTACGGCCGAACGTATTTGAACTGTTACTCTAAGTTGACTTGTTGCTTCATATCATTTAAAATTATGCAAGCATAGTCTTCAAAAATATCTAATGAAATTCAGATCTCTCATACTGTCACACGCACTAAAACAACAACAACACTGTTTTAGAACGATCGAATAGTGATACGAGATCGGAACTCTGCACCAGGCTCAATATTTTTATGATAAATTTAAAAACTGCAGTCAAACATTATTTCACCGAGTGTTCTTATCGTTGAAATGAAATATCAGGAGATTTTTGTGGGTAATTTTACGTTTTACCGTCGAAAAGGCGCTTTTGGGTACAAAATACACACACTATTCTAAATCCCCTGCAAATGGTGATTCAATTGGCACGGATGTGTTTCACTAGCTGTGGCGGTAGCGTTAAGTGCACTCCCTATTGTTTTCCATGTTTTTTCGAGGATCTGTCATTGTTCCGGGAGAGTGCAGAGGCTCAAGAATGTTTACCTTGCGTCAACCTTTCCGCATGGGGTCAGGTCAAGCGGAGGCGTTAATTCGGGCTCCAAGGAATTTCTGCTCGTCCATTGTTTGAGCAGAATGAGACATTTTGCCCCAAGGGTGGTTTTGCCTCGATTTATGTTTACTCACATGGGCAAGCAAGAAAAGTATGCAGTAAAGCAGTGTATGCTCTTAATTTTACCTTCAAATATCGCAAGATAAAATTACGCAAGATGAGACGTTTGTAGAACTATGAACTATGAACTATGAACTATGAACGAAGAACTAAGAACTAAGAACTTTTGCCATCATTGAATATTCATACGGCGTTTTTCCTGAAAACGGCGGCATTTTTCCTGCATAACATGTTTAAAGCCAGGCAGGATTGCCAGTTGTAGCATTCGATTTATTTAACCTCTTTCATTAAGTTAAATCTTTCTCGTTGCATACATGGAGGCAACGAACAGCTGATACTATAAAAAACACGTATATTAGTTTATATCGATTTGAAATGGGGGGGTTAGGGTAAAGGACACACAATCTTGATAGAACTCAGTTTTCCGTACGTAAGTGCATCATAGAGAGTCTCATCAAAAGCATATGCGCGACGGGTTAGCACGCGATAATAACAACTGTATATGGGGCAAGGAGTCTGTTAAAACGATATTTTATCCTGAAAATTTTAAATGCAGCCATTACGTAAATTTTACGCGCGACGTCGCTCTATATTGCAAAATGTGCCAAGTAAATCGACCTTTTTCTGGGAAAAAATCGCATTTCAGCGTATGAAAAGGTTCGTATAGGCTATGTTTTAACCACGATTATATGACTGAAACTATTAAACTACCTTCAGTTTATTTTTTTTTAGCTCAAGATGGCTTAAACTCGTTGTGAAATATATCGTGAAATGGGTAAACTTTGAAACCACAGCGGAACTTTTCAACATTGTCATGTACACTTCTTCTCTTCAGTCGGAAAACAAAACCGGGCTTGAAATTTTCTTTGATTTTTCTAACAATTACTTGATCATTCGATTTCATCACATTTCAAGTCATTTTTTTTCTGTCTCTCACAAAATTTTCTTCTGAAAGTAACAGAAAGCGCAAAAATTTTGAAACGAATCCAAAGAGACACAGATTTATGGAGGTAGGCTTTCGAATAGTGTTGATTATAGCCATTGATCGTAAACTTTTTGAACTGAAGTTCGGTTCCATATGCAGTGACTGAAAACTTCAGTCACCTGGACTGGAACTTTAGTGGGCCATATGAAGTGAAGTTCAGTTCTTGCAACCGAAGTATTTTTCCCCGTAAAGGGGACGTCCAGCGGAAGGGTGACCGAGGGTTGGCCAGTAAATAGAAGGGTCTTGAGAGGTAATTCCTGGAAGGAGAGGTAATTCCTGGGGGAGAGGCAGTAACTCCTGGGAGAAGAGGTAACCTCCCGGAGGAGATGTAACTCCTAGGAGGAGAAGTGGCGACGAGGCGTCCCAAAGCGCCAGCGTAGGTAAAAGCAGCTATTTTATGTACCACTCTATAAGTCTATATAGTTATAGTCTATATAGTCTCCCCGTTCTTTATCAATACCGGGATCAACCTTACTTTTAAACTTAAAGAACAAAAAGTCATTTTAGCTGAGTGGATACGCTTAAATGATTGATTCCTCTTGCAATACTAATTATCAAAGTAATTGTTACCTACCACAATAGTGACATTGTAAGAGCAGCTAGCATAATAGATGGGACTAGGAATTACAATCAGCATTGTAAAAAACAACGATTTCTATTTTTCCATTAAAAAAAAAGGATTTAAGAAAAATAGTTCAGGGTAGCCGACTAGACAACCGTGCGCGCACCGTCCCACAATCAGGAGGATTTTTCGAATAAGTGACGAGATATTTTCACAGTAATAGCGACTGCAGCTTATCCCGAGCATTTCCCGATAATTGCAGTCATTATCCAACATTGCTGCCAACTTTCATGATTAAGCTCCCGTATTTCCTCGGAATGTATTCTACTCGCGAGTACTAAGCTTGATAGTGTGAAATCTGTTCACTGTGGGAGGGACGTTAAATTACGTAACAGTTGGCCGTAATACTGGATAGTGCTAAGGATGCAATTTGGCGATTAGAATTA